TACGTGCAGCAAGTGAAGATGAATTTTGAAGAATAATTTGTGAATGGGGATTGGCTGGTTTTGAAAGTGAAGACAAACGTTCCTTAAAATTGTGGGACAAGTGTGAGTTGGTAAATCAACTATTCTGTAAATTGGACCCCGTAATCTGGGAGGTTACTGTAATCTATTTACATGCTATCTTCCCTGAGAAGTTTACGAACAAAAGGACAAGAAGAGATTATTCCTTTCCATTTTAGGACTCTCCACAGTGATCAGTCAACAAGGTTGCTTGAATCAAATTAAAATTCTTAACCTATGATAAGGTTTATCATCTCAAAACAATGTTTAATCATAATCAATCTTCTATGTAAATGTTCTTCAGATGAAAGAACAAGTCCTGAAAGCAAAGTTAATCTTTCAAGCGAGTCACTAAAAAGCTGCTGTTTTATGCTCTCATGCCCACCAACACCTTCCAGGGGTCTGAACCAGCATACCTAGTCTTTTTATTTTTCTTTCTACCTTATGCAGATCCAGCTCCCTAGATAAGAAGTTTCCATTGGGGAGAAAAAAAGATGTTTCTGATGAAAAGGGGATCCTTGCTTTACTTTTTAAAGTCTTTCAGGTCTGAGCTTCCAAAATATATTGCTTCCATTGAGAACATTCTCAATGTTTTTATACATGGTGCAATGGAAATATCCTTAAGGTGAACACTGTCAGCATTTTTAAATTGAAATTTATAACCTAATATATTCAAGTGGGTGAAGAGTTCAGCACACAGGACTAGACCAGAAATTTCTACCTAAGGACTTGAATACCAGTAATACCATTTTATAAGAGTTTATATATTTGGCAGCTCCCAAGTAGATTTTTTTTTAAGGACCACATCATGGCATCTTCATGATCAGCTGCCACGAAGAATCAAGTGTTCTACCTAAGAAGCACCTGGTGCAGAACAATCATTTAGTTCCCTTCACAGCGATGCTGAAGCCCGGGTGGTTACCAGTTGAGCTGAGACCTGAAAGCTCACAACCACCAACTGCGCACGAGGAGACTCCTGCAAAGGGGCTCAGCAGCTTGGTTCTGGGTTGGGGCGTAATCTTTCCGCGGTGTATTGCAGAGTTCTTTCTTGAACAGGGGATCCCGAATATAGCTCAATGTCCTTCATAACCCATTTCATGTATAACGTTTCCTTTTTTTTTCCTGAAGGATTTTTGTGGGGTGGAGGTAATTTGGGGGTGAACTAGTGGTCAGTCATTTAGTGTCCAGGGGGGCAGTCCAGGTCTGAGAGATGTTTGAGCCAAGTATAAATGTGGCCCAGGCTCAAATTTATATTCCATGGGTAAATGCCAAGGTCAGGCCCATTACAGACCGTTGATAGGCAAATACTTGAAAAATGTTACCATGCCCTCACTTCAACTTCCCAACAGCTTTCATCACGTTGAGATTTAATAAAATAAAACCACGCAGGTTCAGCTTTCCATCTGTTGCTGCACTGCTTTTTTCAGAATCTTCCCTTCGTAAAGTACCAACAAATTCAGTTTCCAAAGCTCTTCCCACTTCCAATGTAAAAGCGATAATTTTAGGCCTAAGAAACCAGCGATAGTAGGGGGGAAAAAATCCAGTTCTAGCAAAATTCTTTGTACGAGACAAAATGAGAAAGGTCCATGAAAAAATCCCTTCACTGTTTCAAATTTTCAAGCTTTTTGAAGCCCTCAGTCTTATTCTTTTCCCCTATTATTGCCTGGCTTTTAACTTCTGACTCCAAGTGCACGTTCAAACTCACTGCCAAGTTGGTTCCGACGCCTCTCTAGGACGGGAAGACCTGCCCCTGTGGGCTATGCGAGTACAAAGCCTCCGACCGTCCGTAGCAGCCCCACCGGTAACCACTGCACCACCAGGGCTCCTCCAACTGCAGTCACGTTAATTTCCAGAAACAGACCAGGAGATTCTTTTGTAAAGATGCTTTAAGAGCAACTGAATGATAGCAATGGGTTTAATAATAACCCCTTATGGACACACATTGTATATACCTATTTTATTATTAATACGTTGCTCATATTCAAATACTGCTAAAATGACAAACATGATTTGGAAACAGATCACTTATTGACACTCTTGTCTAGAAGTTACAGCTCGAACCAAAAGCAAGGTACACACGTACACACGTACACACACGAACAGCCATAAGGAGTGGCCATGCAAGCCTGCATGTGTGCTCTTACACGCACATGCCTTTAAGTGAAAGAGAAAAAACAGACAAATTAAGTTTCAGGTAAAAAGTCTAATCATTAAAAGAAGGCAGAACTTTTTATTAATTTTATGTTTTCTCATATACAAATCAAACATTGAACTTAGAAAATATGGAGTCCTATGAGAATTCTGGTTCAAGAAACTGGTATCTTCTCTTCCGTCTCGTTAAAAAAAAAATGGCTCTATGCCTTGGAAAGGCACATTAATTAGTAGTTAAAATCTAAAAATCCATATGAAGCAACAGATGTCGTTTTTTGCTTTTTGGTTTTGTTTTAATTGCATTTTTAAAGCATTAGGGTAACTTGACATTTAAAGCAATTATATATATTCCAACAAAATGGTAGGTTGTTTCACATTCTGCCTGTAAAGCGGCAATCATGTGAAAGCTAATGTATTTCATGTCATCAAAACACAACATCCCCACATAGATAGTTCTTTACTGTCCCCAGAGTACACTGTCCGTCCAGGTGAGGAGGAATTTGGGGGAGGGCGCAGTCATAAAATGACAGAAGATTTTTTAAAAACTGCTTGATCTGCCTTGGCCTTAAAAGGAAGGAAAAAAAACACCCAAGCCTTAGCTCGCTTCAGGATTGGGTTAAAAACAGCAGGGAGGTGGGGAGGATGCAAGGAGAGAGGCACGGGTCATTTTAAAAGCATTGTCTGGAAACTAGAAATGAGGAGAAAACAACCTCAATGTGCTATGATTACCCAGAACAAGTTTAGCCAGATGAACAAGTCAGCTACAAACCCTCCCCAAGGCATTTGAAAGACTATCAAACAAAACTTTATTAACTGGATTGCAAGGCCTCATTCATGAGACGTTGAAGGCCACACTGTTTATGATCAGGTGAAAAAGTCGATGTAGGGGACCCACACTTGGCCTGGATCCTCTTTTTAGTTCTTTTGTTTTGTTTTTTTGTTTTTAATTAGTACAAGCATGTCAAGCCAGCCTGTATTAAATTTCTCTCCCTGCAGGTCAAGTTCCTGAATCCCAGGTATAAGCATTTAGAGCACTAACCCCTTGACAGTTGAAAGGCCTTTTGATAGTTTTGACTACATCCCTGCAATAAGCAAATGATTACATCAATATATGCAATTGTATTCCTTTTATTAGGAGACTTTAACCCCAAGATAGTAAGTTCCCTCCTTACTATCTCCCATTCAAGGACTTCCAAATAAGGGAAAAAACACTGCAAACAAGAAACAGTTCGAATGTCTCTAAATACTTCCCCCTACTACCCTTTCGTCAAAGCACTCAGATTAAAAACCCATTCTCAACTTCCTGGTAAGACAACAAACACATTCTGTAAAGGACATCTAGCTCTGCTACCTATGGAACCGTTCTTGGTGTTCATTTGTATTTTGAAGAGTTTCGGGTGGAATTTTGATTATATGCTTCATTTAATCATGGGAGTTTTTGTTTGAGAAAAGTAAGCAATTCTACCTTAGGCTGCTCGTGTCATTTTTTTCTTCCTTTCTCAGAATCAATTTGTCTAGATCTAAAAAGCTCAGGCCTAAATAAACTACTTATTTCCTCGAGACTAATTTCCCAAAAGTAAAACGAGAAAAAAAAAAAAATCCCTGGGGTTTACCTCCTTGTAGCTCACACTATTTAGATTGTCATAAGCAGTGTTTATCTACCGCTAGGGCCTCAAACAATATTTCCTAACATGCACACAAAATGTCTGCAACCATATTCCTCCCAGTCCTGTATCAGCAGCACTGACCTTTGTTCAAATGCTTTTACTTTTTAATGCAGCAGTTAGAGATAACTGCTTCATTTATCAAAACTCAATTTCCATAGTAACATCTAGCCTGGGGAGATTCAAGTCCTCACACTAATCCAACAACCCATTCAAAGGCACTGTTGAATACTTGGTTTCCATAGCAATGATGGAATAATACATTTTGCTAGGTCATTGCTTTTATTAGCAAACTTAGTCTTTGAACTTTAGGTAGGGCTGTGTTAATGGGGGATGGGGAGAATCATTTTATGTACGTGGTTGCCATCAGGGCTGCTCTTTCTCAGGAAGGCACAAATAGCAACCATATACGTATTTGAAACATTTCAGTATTTGATGGCTTTTAAAATATGCCACCTACTTTCATCTTTAAATGGGTTAAAAAAGGCTTTGAATGTGATTGCTATAGACCTGACAAATATTTATAAAATTAATGGGGCTAAACTTAAAAGCACGCATTAAAGCAGAATCAAGTTGAAGTCTCTGAATGTGGGTTGAGGTGAAGTATAGAATAATTTATAAGTCACAACCCACTCTTGGACTGCCTGGTCCTGCAACTGCAGCCTTACCTTTCTGCAAGCACACACAACATGCTAGACCCAGACATTTGGGGCTAAAGGGGAGGTTAAAGGTAACAAAATAAGCACTTAAGTTTTATATGCGGCAAGGAAAAATATTTAATACTTAAAGCCGGCCTTATAGATGTTACAGTTTTCTCCCTTCGAGACAGGAATCGTGCCCTTCGCATGTTCTTAAATCCATTAGTGAATGCTTTTGTTTGGATTTGCAAGTAATTAATTCTATGTGAGGTGACAGGGCAAGGTCTTAGTGAAGAGAGCATCATCCTTCCTGGAACCAGACTTTTCTACTGAGCTGGATTCTGAGCCAAGCCAGTGCTGAAAAGGTAGGCCATTAAAAAATAAAAGTTGACAGAAGAAAGAAGAGATCAAACACGTGTTGGCTTTTAAAAGGATGAATACCACTTACACTATTTACACAACTCATAGAATTAACAAGAAAATTACATACCAGTGTGAGTCCTCAGGTGAGCTTTTAAATGAGAAGACTTTGTATAAACTTTTGTGCAGCCTAAAATAAAAGAGAGGAAGAATAGCTTGTCATTTCGGAGGTCCTTTTGAAATCTTCACACTGGATGATTCAGTGTTTAAAATCTGGCTTTAAAAGAAATCTCTCATGCTAGCTGAGGTATTTGAAGCTTCAGGTTTAAAAGAAGTTTTAAAGGGCCCTCCCCCACTGCCTTATTAAAAAAGGCATAAAGCAATCCATCTTCCACCATCACCTTTTCAGCAACCACCGCAGAAAAGGCAAAGCTACAAACAGAAAATGTGTTTGCACTCCAGCAGGTGCTACAAACTAGTAACACATACAGTAGTTACCCAAGAGCTACCATAGTATATATGGCATGTAGGCTAGATAAATGGAAATGGCTCTAGGGATGACAATCTTAAAGCATTACCAGACATGACTCTATTTCAGCATCTTTCCATTTCGTGTTTTCAATTCCACGTGTCATGCCTTATTATGTACCACAGTTAATAAGTTATACACCATATTAACCAGAGAAATGAATATGCCAACTATTTATACATGCATTACTCCATTATCTACTACCTGAGTCCATTCTGACTCAGGTGAAAGGGGAGAATTGCCCGTCAGGCTCCCAAGGCCGTAATTCTTTACAGAAGAGTTCTCTGGTGGACCCACTGGTGGGTGCAACCCAGATCTTATAGTTTGCAGAGGAGCACTTAACTGCTGGGCTACCTATTTTAGTACCATCCTTAAATCTAGCCTGTAGACCAGCAGTTCTCAACCTGGGGGCCGAACGACCCTTTCACAGGACTCGCCCGATTCATAACCGTAGCAAAATTACAGCTATGGAGTAGCAACGAAATTAATTTTATGGTTGTGGGAGAGGTCACCACAACATGAGGAGGAACTGTATTAATGGGTCGCGGACATTAAGTTGAGAACCACTGCTGTAGACAGTCTTGTACCCAACATCGGGCTAGAAGAATTAGTCTGGTCAGTCTTTCTCCCAAAGCAACTTAACCATTTTTGTTTAAACATGTAAAATAAGCAACAGATAATTAAATGGTTGCATATTCAAATAAGGATACGACTGGAATATGAAAAGTACAAAGTCGATTTCTCTTCAACTGTCAAGCACTATACTTTCCTATGGAAATTTAAAATCTCTTCAAGTCTGTGGCTATGAGATGGGTGCTTGTGCACACAGAACCCAAATACAGCTATCGCTTCTTTAACCAGGTAAAATTACCTACCAGGGTAATCACAGTAGTGGATGCGCCTTTTCTCCAAATCGGGATTACTCCTTCTATTGTATCTGACGGGCTGGATGCTTTGTGAATTCACGGGCAGGCTGACAGGTAAGTTTGGATTGTGGATTGCCAGTTTAGAAGCAATGGTGGCCGCATAGGACGGCGGTGGGGTTAAATTCTGGAGCATTTCTGCTTGCCTATCTGGGCTCCCAGGCTCGGAGCTTGGTGGTGATGGGGGAAAGTAAGTGGCCTGCTGCTGTGGCAGAAACTGACTTGGCATTGCGTATGTGCAAGGGGGCATGCCCTGAAACGGTTTCATTGCAGTCTGTGGGACAGCAGAGGTAAGTGTGTTAAGGCCGGCCATGGCGGCGGACACGGAAACATTAAGCGAGTCCATTACTGCTGTCTGGTTTGTAGAACTGGGCATATCTAGATCCGGTGTGTTCAGGAGCTGGTACAAGTGGCCCTGCTGGGGAGGGACAGAGAGATGAAGATCTGGTGTAGGAAGTTCTTGCTTGATGAAAATATTGTTCACCTCTGGAGCTGCGGTCTGGTGGGAGCTGAATATACTGGTGAACTCGGGGAGGGCCTGGGTCTGGGCCGGAGGAGGGGCAGTCGTTTCACTCTGGTGGCTGAAAATGGTAACAGGTTCGGTCTTGATGTGTGTTACGCACGGTCTCTGGGATTTGTAGAGGCCAGTTCTCAGGTGAGTGATGTCAGGGAGAAACACGTTCATGTTGATACTGTAAGGTAGCCCTTCACTGTCAGTGAAGAACTGGTCTACAACCGAGGCACTGTCTCGTCTATATTTTTTATGCTCTGGAATTAAAGGAACGGGAGGAAGCTGAGGTGTCAGATACTTCTCCATCTCACATCTTGTCTAAAAAAAAAGAGAGAGATACAAATACATACGTGAGCCACCTGATCCATCATCAGCTCAGAGAAGCCCAACTGCTCACTAAAGAACTCCCCACCCTGCCCACCCTCAGCCCCACAATTTGTTTTAAATATAAATGGCAAACTCCTTCTAAGAGTTTTTTTTATAAACACACCGGGTTTATTTTGTCAATTTGTGGAATAATTGGTTCCTTAAAACCTTGTGAAACTCTGTATATAACTTGCATTTGACAAAATCGCTTCCCCAGCAACCCCAAAGTGAAAGGCAAATCAAGAAAGAGAAGCAGAAAGGCATCCCTTCTCCTTTCTGATGCAATACAATATCACTCACATACAAGTGAGATTCCCTGCCTCGATGCTTTACAATCAGAGTAAAGTATTTTAATACTGCCTAAAAAAGCACCCCAAACCTCCAGAAGAAAAAACATATTCAATATTCATGGCAAAGATTTTCACTTGGAGAGACTGCCGAAAAACCTAATCTAAAACATATTCCTTGGCTATTTCAGTGCCTTTGCTTGTTTAAAGTTCAATGGAAACTTAAATACAGTGTTCTGACCAAAACACAGTATCCACTGAAAAAAAGGAGGACTTCTCATTCAACATTTGATCTGAATGTTGATTTTAATCAGCAGATTCTGTAATTGGTTAATACGATAATGAAACGTTCCTATTCATATCCCTATCTGAAACAGATCTTTAATTACCTAGTTGGGAAAAATCACTCCCTTGGTAGAGTGGTGCTAAGAGCCCGTGGGTGGGGAGAGGCTGCTATATTGCTAGCACAGTCATCAGCAAAACATTTATCATGTCCTTCTCAGTGCCCCAATGCTACATTCCCCCTTCCTCTGTAAAAAAAGCTCAGTCATCCCTAATCCTCCTCCCCGGGTCCCCAAGCAGAAAAGTGACAAACTGAAATTAATCCAAGAGCTTTCAAATGGTGGTTTCTTCGGACAGCAGTCAGCGTGGATGTCCCCGTGGATTCTGAGCTATCTCCTCGCCCAGTACAACATAAACTCACTTCTGTTTAACACCGAAAAGGCTACTTCCAGAAGGAGAAAAGAAGCCCTAACATTCAGCTTCATCGGTAAACACACCAGTCACTTTTTTCGCCACTACATTTCAACAGCGTTTCCTTCCTAACCTCCTCCGGTGTGGATGAGGAAGAGGTTTCCCCAATAGACTCGATTTAAAAATAAAAGGAACGCTTCAGTCCTGTGAATCACAGCAATGACAAACGCCCTTGCCCTCTCGTAGCACAGCGCCCGGGGTGGGTGGGCGCTGAACTGGGCGACAAGCCCGGCCCGCCACCGAGCTCCCGAAGCGAACTGCCCGGAGAGAAACCGACCTAAAACCCTTTCGTGCACTGCGCTCGCGTGGCGGTTAGTGGTTTCTGATTTTAGCTCTTCCAGCTGTTTGCATGTGGGTATGTTTCCAATTTTTTTTTTCCTTTTCCTTTCTCCCCCTTCCTCGGACAGGCTGAAAGTCCCGGGAAGTTTTTCTAGGCTATATGACTCCCTGCGTGGGCGAAAGAAACAGGCGGTTGCTCTAATTCGGCTGCTGGGCAAGTGCAAAGCCAACTGCCAGCTTTCAACGCGGCTCAGGGAGGAAATTTACGCGCACACCACCACCACCCCCATTTTTCTCTCTTGCTGCCCTTTCTTCAGGAAAAATAAGAACTTCGCCACCACAACCTCAGCTTTCCTTCCTTCGCCTTTCCCAAACACGCGGCCGCCGCGCCATCGCCTCCGAACCTGCTCGAAGCTTCCCACTGGCACCCCTAAGAGAACCCAGCCAACACCCCACCTTGCGTGTCTACTGAACCCGAGGCGCCGTCAGGGGTGCGGGGGGGGGCTCCCCAACATCCTGGCACCGGGAAGGAGAGGGGGGCGTGATAGCGAGATTTAAGTCAACTCGGCCGTGGGATCCGAGCTCGTATCGCCCAGACACCGGGAAACGAAGGGGGGCGGGGGTGAGGACCCCGTTCGTTCGGCCCCGGCCCCACCGCCAAGCGCGCGTGCGCGCGCCCGGGCGCAGCCAGGCTCGGCCGGCCGCGCAGGCTCCCGGTGCGCCCCGACGCGCGCCCCAGCCTGGAGCGGCCCCTGTCGCCCGCCCGTCGCCGCGGCGGACACGCCCGAGCCCGGGGCGGGGAGCGGCTCTTCCTACCTGGACCAGCTCCTCCGGGGGCAGCCGCGGGCCGGGCGCGGGCTGCGGGGGCGCGGGCGGCGGCGCCTGCGGGTGGTGGTGCGCGTGCTTCAGCTCCTCGCCGGGGAAGAGCGCCGCGTCGCGGGCCGGGTTCGCGGCGTCCAGCACGGGTTTGAGCTGCGCGAACACGGGCTGCTCCTGCGGGGCCGGCGGCTGGGGCACGGGTCCCAGGCGGGCGCTCATGGTCAGCACCCGCGTAGCCATGGGCACTCGGGGGCCGGGGGCGGCTGTGGGCGCGGGGCGAGCGCGGGTTCCCACCTGGCCCACTCTGGCGCGGGCCGGCGAGCTCGGCGCGGGGCAGCGGGCGGAGGAGGGGGCTCCGGTCGGACCCCTCGGCCAGCAGCAGGCGCCGCTTTCGAAGGCGCGCACGAAAAAGCAAAACTCTTCCGCTCGGTCACGCGTCCACGCCGACGTCCTCCGGGCGGCCACTTTCTCCTGCCCTGCCCCGCCCCGCCGCGCTCTCTCCTCAGAGCCCGCTCCTGCCGCCGCGGATCGCTACGAACGAGCTCCGAGCGCGCGTACCTGCCCCGCGACTACTGACACTTGACGCGCGCCCGTATTTCACCCAACTCCGAGGGGGCGGGGTCCGCTGCGCTGACTGGCAGCGCATCCGCCAATCCAGAGGCCGGAAGGCCGGCCCTGCCGGATCTACAAGCCTATGAGGAGGGAGATCCTGGCCGAGGCTCCGCCCCCACCAGACCGACCGCACCCCTCTCGCGCCACGAGCTGCGCGCGGAGAGTGGCCGCGCAGTTTGTACACAACTTCTCTGACAGATTGGGCCGGAGGAAGGAAGAAAGGGAACGGGGTGGAATCCAGAAAGAGGGGGGACCGTCCTAGGGAGATCTCAACGGACCGTTCCCTACCAGATGTAGGGAGAAGCATTTTACACTTCTTAGGTGTTGTGCAAGGACCTGAAACTCAAAAGCTCAAGCCCAGACGATGGCTCGGCGGGGGCGCTAGGCTTTCCAGAGACAGCGTCAGTGTACAAAATGTGCTCTCCTTGGGCGGAAAACGGCGGGCAGGGTGGTAAACAGATTTAAAACAGATATAGCCAGTTAGCGAAACAAATTCAGAATGTCCTAAATAAACAGTATAATAGTAATAAAAAAAACTCCTTGCATAAAAGCCTGTGATTTTCCTTCTGAATTTAAATGGGTTCAAAGTTTTCACATCTATTTTTCTCTGGTATCCCAAATGGTGGCCAGAAGCGGGGGGGATGGGCCCGATAAATCTTGGAAGTGTTTAATATTTAGAATAGTTCATCCACCCGAAGCACTTAATCTAATTTAAGCACTCGGGAGAAGATGAAATATGTATTTTTTTGAAATATGTATTTAAATAGGCATCCCAGCTCGAACTTCGTTTTCCTAGCCTGTGTGTTCGAGAAATGGAGTTGCCTATTTACAAGACAGGCGCAGCACATTTAACAAGCACCCTGGCTACACCTTTTCCTATGGAAAGACAGACCGTCGAAGAAGCTCGGAGCTAGGAATCAAACTGTGTAGCAAAGTAATAGCCAAAGAATATTACCGTCCATTTACTATGTTAGTATAATGGGAAGGGGAATTGGCTAGCAATCGCCTCGGGAAACAACTTCCCTTAATCCCTAATGCTCTTGTACATGATTTTATCTGATTTATTGGGAAGCTGGAATTTTCAACTGTAATAAAAACGCCTGGATTATTACTGCATATGTACTCGTAAGTTGACAGTACACTACCATTAGGCAGGTTTACATATACAATGGCCCACTCAGGAAGGCACCTTTCATAAAAAGGAATTCTTAGAAAAACCTTCACTTCATAGAGTAATCTCTATCCAAGGTATGGATCTCATGTTCGATGTTAGGATAAAAATATTAATATGCACGTAAAGTATCAGATGTATTTACTAGTTAAGAAAAAAATACAATTATGATGCAAAATGGGTTTTCCCCCCTCCTTTTCTTTTCCTTCCTGTTAATTCCTGATTCGTTTTTATAGCTATAATCACTGCTTTCAGAGAATGGTCGATGACTACTTTCATGTTACCAAACTATTTAATAAGTGTTTTTGCTAAGCAAACAATCCCATACTGTGCACCTTCATTAAAAAGAAGAAGAAAGTTGTCCTGGTTTTCTTTAATACTAAACCTGCATCTTGAATTAAACACTTAAAAACAGATTATAGAATTGGTATTGGATTTAATACATTACTGTTGAGTACTTTTTAGTTATTTAGCATGACCACACCTATGTGTGACATAGGTAATTCTTAATAGAACTTTTGCAGATCTTTTAAATTTTTTTTCCTCTTAGCTCTGATGTAGATCTAATTTAGATTTAGTACAATTCCATATCCACTTATATTTTAATTTTTTAAAAGAATTATCAATGTAGAGCTTTCCTTTTGTCTTTCTATCAGAGTTTCAGTGGTCTGTTATTCCAACCCTTTTTGACTGTGATAAAATCCATTTTATTTAGCTGGAAATGCTTATATAATTTGGCATAATGTTTTAAAACATGCTTTCATTACAAAGGCTTTCTCACTGCAAAATAACAAGAACGACAAATACACACAGCAACTATTTAATACATTTTTAACATTGTATGTGCATAATCATTCAATGTTTTCATATTTTCCAGTTTTCTTAATGAAGAATACACATGACGCTAGCCATGACTGGTTCAAAACAAGCCATGTGCAGTAGAAAACTGGAAAACATTCTTTTTAGCTCAAATACAGAAGCATTTATTTACATTTCACTTCGGGCATAAAGATTCGTGAAATAAGACCGCCACATTCAATTCCTGGTCTTCTCTGAAAGGCCCAGCCCTGCCCCGCTCCCAGGAAATCACTAGCCCCACACTGTGCAATAACCCTGTGGACGTCCGACAGTCATCCTGCTCTGAGACATTTGCCAGGCGATTCTGAACATGGGAAGAACACATCCAGCCACGGGTACTGCTGTGGCTGTCAACACAAACACTCAGCTGAAGACCTGCTTCAGCAATGTAGCAAACAAGGGTTAAAACACGATAAATATTTTGCAAAATGTTTCAGGTTCTGCACTGGCGTGAAGCCAGGCAGTGTGAATGGACAGATCCTCAATCACTTTGAACTTTCTAGTTCTTTGCATTCCTTCCTGCTTAGTTAGTAGGCTGTACCATGAGGCAAGATAGGAGAAAACAAGAAAACAAATGTCAGGTTTCAGAAATCAATTAGTGTCCTGGCAGAGGTGTGTTAACTGAACTGTGCCAAAAGAGAGGTTTTCTGAGAGAAAGGAATTAAAAAAAAAAAAAAGTGGAATAGTCAAGTTCGGTGGGAGGGTGCGCATAGAAGCAGTGCATGCTTAAGTCCTTAGTCACCGGGCAACACAGATTTAGTCTTAGAATAAACCTTAAGTGTCACTATCTTTACGGGAATAAATACCTCTGAATGTGTGGGGGCTGAGCAGGCAACAAATGATAGGGGGAGGAGGCATTTGAGGGAGGGGTAGGGGGGGGGAAGAAAAGGAGAAATAGCTTCTGTAGGGCGAGACACAGGGAAATGGGAGCTTCCACTAGGGCTGTGTTCTCGTAAAGAAAGACAGGGGCAGCAGAACTTCATGCTCAGTTGTTAGGAAAAACGGCCAGCGCTTGAAATGAAGGAATCTAGAATGCTGCGGCCAACACCTTATTCATGTTGATAAGGGAACATGCTGATGGACTGTTGGTCCCTTTCTGTGAAATCAGAATCAAACCACCTTGTGAGCTTGGATCACCGAATAAGCAGGGGGCACTGAGTACAGTCTCTTGTACAAGAGACTGCATATGCTCTTTTCTAGGGGAAGGTTCAGTTACGTGTTACTTTCTGATGTTCATTGATTCTCTACTTAGTATTATGATTTGTATCAATGCACGCATAGAACCAAATTAATATCCTCTAAAGCACCTTACATGTTTTCTTTTTAAATCATTTATTGGGGGCTTGTACAACTCTTAACACAATCCATCCATCCATCCATTGTGTCAAGCACATTTGTACATTTATTGCCCTCGATCTTACATGTCTTTAATATTACTTTTCCACCCTGCATTAAGCCATATTTTTTTTAAAAGGGGTGAGGTAAAAAAGAACACAAGAAATAGAAGCTTCAAAGAAAATTAGTCAGAATCCAAGCCATTTGACTCAAAAGGTTGATAGACACAAGAGGAGATCCTTTGTCCCTTTCCTTTCTGATGAAAATAGTATGTAAATGAAATCGAACTGGTCAATTGATATAGAGATGAAAATCTTATTGTCTTTAAGAAGAAAACAGCCCCATAATATTCAGGGTTTGGAGGGAGGCGTTGTACTGTCTACTAGTTCTTAAATTTTCTGTGTAAGCTTGGATTTGAATGTGTTCTTTATGAAGGGCTCATAAAGCACCCATTGTGCACTGATTCCTATTTATACTGTAATTTACCTAGCCTAATTTAAAAACTCGAGAAACAGTCACACATACATACACACTCAACACATGCAAAAATCCAAGACAGTAGAATTTTACCTTTGGGGGAAGACTGCAATAGCTTTTTCCACCTTGCTAGTATAATAAGCAGACAAAAAAACACGACATCAATATAAATGCCTTGAACCAAGTTATGGGCCAGGCATCCTGTAGCTTAAACTGTCCAGTATTTGAATTCTGACTCTATATGTGATAGAGAAGCATTAGATAAAACTCTGGACTAAACAGGTACACCCAACAATCTTTTAGAACTTGCAGGAGACCACATCATCAGCATCACAATGGGCAGCATTTTGAGCCAATGGCTGCTCCTGTTGTAACCAAAGCAGTGGTGGTCCTGGGTGGAGGGCAGATGCAGAAAATGTTCAGAGGAACTGTTCTGGGTGATAAGGGAAGAAGACCTCTCTTCAGGTTGATTTATACACGCACAAGGTGTCTAAAAAGAATGCTGACGCCAACAATGACTTTCCATGCTTTTACTGCCACTGTTACTTTTCACCTTTTGTGGAGGTCAATTTGGCAGTAAGTATTAAGGAGGCTAAACATATAAATAACCTTGAAAGTTATAATTCTTCCCCTCCTAGAAATTTATATACTGAACTGTTTATTCATGCAATATACTTTATACATATCGTTATAAAATACATATTCAATAATATTACATGTATTATAATAAAATGGGAAATCACCTCAATATCCAACACTGATGACAGTTAATTAATAATATCTCTAT